TTATTTGGGAGAAATAAGGAAAGAGTAAGGAGGTGACCAGCCATTTTCCAAAGGAAAAAAGGGAACTGTTTATTAGGCACCTCTACTAGACCATATAGTAATGCAAATTCTTTGCCCAAACTTAAGAAGAGCTGTAAATATAAAAAAGACACTCCTAGGATACTTGAGGGATATTCCCTGACATGAGAATGCTGGATAATGTCATGGGTCCTTCCCAAATCCCAGGTAGTTAAATCAGTTTGTGGCCCTCATATTTCCAAGGGATAGATACAGATGAATAGAAATGGCTAAACAGCCTAAAAATCTTTCTGCAGTTATCTGGAGAGTTAAGAGGATGAAGCCAATGTCAACTTTAGGGTTTAATATGATTGTAAATAATCCTCCCAAACGGACACTCTAGACAGGTTTTACCACTTTTGTGTTCAAAATTCAATTTTTTCCATTCTATATTAAATTGTGTCCCTTTTTCAGTGTAAAAACTGGTGCTAACCAAAGGTGCTTTACAGAGTTTACTCCTTTGTAGTAATGCAATGCCATATGTCAAATAGGATTAAAATATTTATAAAAGATTTATAATTTTTGATAAAGGAAAAACTTATATAGCATTTGTACCTAGAGATATAAAGTCTTGGAGGGTAAGGTGTAATATCTGCACAACGGCTTTGGGAAAATGTGCAATACAAATGAGAGAATATATTGTTACTGAAACTGTTTCTCACAGGTATGTTTTAACTACAGCGCTGTTGGAAGCCACATTTTTAGATAGTAAATGTTTTAGACTAGCAGACCTCTGTTGCAACTAACCAACTCAACCATTGTACTGAGAAAGCAACCACAGACAATACATCGACAAATGGACGTGACTGTATTCCAGTAAAACTGTATTTATACAAATAGGCAACTTGATAACTGAATTGTACTACATTTTCATGAAGCAACCTTTACTATAGGTAATTGTCACATTAAAGTGTGATTTTTTTAAAATGCAAGTGTTCAGTGCAAATTTGTGTAGATAAGGCACACAATTTTTCATCCTACACACAAAAAAGAGTAGATCTACCGTATTCACTGATGTAGTTAGTGGTCATTTTTTCTCTGTGATGGTTGTGACAACTGGAAGTCACCTGAAGCACGGCTCTTTGTTGGGGTACCTGCAGCAATGTTCGTGATTTGCACAGAGGTGTCTACTATGTGGAAATGCTGAGAGTAAGGAGAGAGGTGCTCCAGGACTAGGTCATGGGGCAGTGTTCAAAGTCATTTGGTTCCCTCCCCCTACTATCCCACAGCCCACTCTCACTCCCAAGTCTGTTGTTCTGACCCTGGAATTTTGGGGCAGTTTTTTGGGGGACTTTCATCTACTTATTGTCCAGGTGAGATCTTCTCACCTTCTCACCTTCTCAATAAAATTGAAAGCTGGTTAATATTCCCTTCAGTCCAGGCATATTTGCACTGTATCTTGCTGAAACTTCACAAAATATAAATGCCCTTCCCGTACTGATATAGACTTTTTCTTATTTATTATATTTCCTTGGACAATTCAATAGTGATTTTGAAGAGAAAATAATTAAATGGAAAAGGAAATCTAGTTAAATGAGTTCAGTGTTCATTGGCAGTTCTTTTATACCCTGACTTCTCTTTGCTCAGTACTTTCAAGAGTTTTCTCAAGAAGAGAATACATGGATGCAACACAGTAAGCCCTGCGTATCTTAAGAGCACTTTCTGTTCTCTTCCCTCCCATTTAAAATTTTTATCATGAAATATTTAAGCTATACTCTTGGTGTTAGTCCCAGTTCCCTAGAAAACAGAGCCCAGGAAAACTTAAGTATGAATTATTTATAGAGAGAATCAGGGAAAATGGAAGTGAGGTAGGAAAAGATGGAAAGCAAATATCAGGTGGTACATTACAGAGACAGCCCAACTGTCACTTAGCCATGCAGGACATCTCTTGACAGGGAATACAGAAACAGTGTACCTTGTAACAATCTATTGGAGACTAGAGAGAGATTTCATCTGCCTGTCTGGTGCTCAGCCTCCAAGATGGTCCTTAACAATCCTGTCATATATATATAATTAATATAAATATATATTTGTGTGTTCCCCGTATTTTTTTTACAAAAATGAGAGGATACTATATACACGTGTTTCACTTATATGCAAGAGCATATATACTGATCTCATCTTTTTTAATGGTTGCATAGTGTATTCCATTGTGTGGCTAAATCATAATTTAATTAACCAGCCTCATGTTTAAGTTGTTTGCACTCTTTCACTGTTACAAATAATGATGCAGTGAACATCTTTACACATAAGGCTTTGTGAGTTTATCTATTAGATAAATTCATAGAAGAGGAAATGCTAGGTCAAGGGTTATGTGCATTTTACATTTCTTATCCCTAGTTGCACTCCAAAAGCTTGTGCCTTTTTATGTTCCAACCAGAAGTATGTAATAAAGCCTTTTTCCCACATCTTTCATAACATATTTTATTATCAAACATTTTTTTCAATCTGAGAAAGATTTTCTTCTAGAAAATCACCTCAAAAAAAGGAAAATAGAATTGAAAACTGCATCTTAGGTGAAACTAGGAAATAGCTAGCTATAACCCAGAACTACGGTACATGAAAATGAAAGGTAGTTGGAAGAAATGTAAGTGTTCTGGCTCAGAAAATATAGTCAAACCCAGGAGGTTCCAGGTTCCATTCAGTTTATTGATGTCATCAAACATCCAACCACTATCCATTCATCTCCATCATACTCAGATGCGGATATTTTATCCTAGACATATCAACTCAGGATCACAAGATGGCAGCTCTAGATGTAAATATTACAGGGGCACCTGGGTGGTTCAGTTGGTTAAGCATCAGCCTTCAGCTCAGGTCATGATATGTGGGTCCTGGGATCGAGCCCCACGCTGGGTTCCCTGCTCAGTGGGAAGTCGGCTTTTCCCTCTCCCTCTGCCCCTCCCCGCCCCCCGCTCATGTGTTCTCTATCTCTCTCTCTCCCTCCTTCCCTCTCTCTCTCAAATAAATAAATAAACAACTTTAAATTAAAAAAATAGATGTAAAGATTACATCTGCACTTCTTATTCAAGGCAGGAAGGAAGCGGTCATGGGTTGGAGAGCTAGAAGCAAGTTCTCATATCCAGTTTCTTTAATCAGAATGCAAATTCTTCCCCAGAAGCCCCCAGCAAATTTTCTCATATATCTTATTAGTCAGAACTGGTCCATATGTTCATCTTTAGATAAAAAGTAGTCTAGAAGATTCACCTCCAGAGATTATGCTAAGTGAAATAAGTCAAGCAGAGAAAGTCAATTATCATATGGTTTCACTATTTGTGGAACATAAGGAATAGCATGGAGGACATTAGGAGAAGGAAGGGAAAAATGAAGGGGGGAATCAGAGGGAGAGATGAACCATGAGAGACTATG